GCATCAGTATGCTGATGTGTATTTAGAAATGATCTACCGAGACACTGTATTTGATACACAAAAAATTTAACTGAGTTACATTCTAGAACCATCATGTACCTGAAGCATTTGCATTTCACTCACCACATCTTTCCATGCTTTGAAATAACAACAATTTGTTACTTCTACTGATGTTACCAGATGAAAGAAAAGCGATGGCTTCACCAGTACGTATTCCAGTGGAACAAGCTTTCAGTGAACTACACTGTGCTGAGTCATGAGAAACAGGTAAATGTTAATAGTTTGCTTGCAAGAACCATGTAGGATTTCAGCATATAAAAGCTGATGACCTAGCAAAGCCAGACACTTTTTCTGCACATTGTGTCCCTCTGATTGCAAAGTGACACAAGAGGAGCTTCCTAAGAGAGAGGGAAAGACCAAGCACAGCATGACTCAAAGACCCAACCCCACAATTTGGTAGCAGAAATACCATGACTGAGGTGCAAGAACTAGCTTGTACCTAGCTCTTTTCTCTTCAGAGAAAACTTTTACAAGTGACCATGCCTCTGTCAGGAAGGAAGAGAAAAAGCAAAACCCCAAAATTTTCTTTGTGATTTGCATCCTGCCTTCAGATCTACAGACAGACAAGCTGCCATGGTGGCTCAGGAATACTTGCCTTCTTTTTTCCTTCCAGGACTAAATTTTCTGTTTTATTTCTTACCACAAATATAATATTAGGCGCTTTTTTTGAGACACCCTCTCTCACCTCCATTTCAAAGCAGACCTGAGCCAGACGTGCTTGGATTATGTGACTGGAGTATTCCTGACTGGTATATAAAATCTCATTTGTCAGCAAACCGGAGAGGGAGGGGACTTTATGTAACATCCAAACAATGAGAGTAATGCATTTCTACAAAACAATTCCTTTATTGCTCCACACCGCAGGCTTTTACAGCATGGCATGGCATTGTATAGTAGTGACACTGAACTTGGATCTTAGGACTATAAATGTTTAAACATACTTTTATTTTCTATCCTGGTACCCTGACTTCTCCTTCCAGAACTGTAGGGACTGGAATTTTCCTAGGAAAGAACAAGACAAACAGCCTTTGGATACCATTTCAGCATAAAAGCACAATGTGAAGAGTTCACAGCACAGGCCTGCAATTCTGAAACAAAACAGAAGCGGATGGCTCCCCAGTCTCTAGGTCACACTATTTTTTATTTTTACTTCATGTGCATCATACCAAGAGGACATATCTAAATTCAAACTTACTAAAGTCTAAGCTTTTTACTGAAAGTGGCATAGAGCATATTTTGTTATGGAAAATTCATTTATATTGTCAAATCTTCTCTTTTGTTCCTCTCTCTAACCCACTCAAGACCCATTTTTGTATTCATTGCCAACACAAACCTCTTGGTACCCTTTTAACAAATTAAGTATTCTTTACTCACTGCAGTAAACACTCTTATGAGCACTGGTAGGACTGGTTGTTTACTCATTCTTGGCTAAACCTCTGCTTTTGACACCACCACCAACAAAAAGATTTTTGCTCAGCTTCCCTTAATCCATGGATGCACGCTTAACATGAATTACTGTTTTTAAAATATGGTTCATCTTACATTCCCAGATTTCAGACCCTGAAAATATATGTAACAGATCAACTCCGAAAAACTGAGCTCTCTGAGGTGGGAGAGAATAGAGGACAGCAGGGCAAAGCCAAGAGCACCAGTTCTATTTTAATTAAATTCAGTGTTAAGCAAAGTCTTTTAGATCTTGCTGTTTGTCTCTTCTCAGGTTTTCTGAACTTTTCCACGATCATTTTTAGCTTTACAGACACTTCCCTTTTTATTCCATAAACCCAGTTTTGGATTAGTGGCTTAATTCAGCTCAAGATTTGAACTAGGAGGGCCATTCAAATTAGCTGTGGAGGCCACAAAGTAAAAGAATGGTACCCTTGGAGGGGGAAATGCATGGTGAAATATTTCCTTTAGTCTCACTCACACTTTTAATTGCCCCTCCTCCACTGCTGTTCTGGCTGGATACCATGGTTTTTTGTTCTGACCCTGCTGACCTGCCTCTCAAACAAGAGGAGCTAATTACAAAAAGCCTTTACCAAGTCATGCTTGTCTTCAGTTGAACTCTAACCTAGCCATTGCTAAAATGTGGCGTTACAAAGATTTAGTGCAATTCTTGAAAATTCATTGGTTCTATAATGGTTGCTCCTCCATATTTCCAGCCATTTCTTTACCCCTGCAAGCTCTTCACTGCAAATAGGACTCTGTGACTTTGCCCAAGGTGTCTGGACACAAGCAGAGCCACTTCCACTGTCTCCAGGGTAAAATACTGCTGCCTTCCAGGGAGAAAATACTGCAAAACTTATGTAGCTGTTCTGGCAGGAGGGAAAACCAAGAGAACTATTGCTGTTAACAGGAGTAACAATGCAAAAATACTACAGCTCTACTGTCTAGCCCTAAGTGATTTATTAGCAATGAATAAACAGGTAAGAACCAACAATTGCTTCTTATTATTTAAGCAACAGAAAAAAAAGCAATGTGGTTGCAAGTAGTGGCTATGTACAAATGCAAAGCCTATCAGTATGCATATTATTGCTCAGATTGTTTTATCTACAAGCTTTCTAGGGCAGTAACACTACTAGAGCACTCAAGCTCTGCAAAACTTACTTGATTTTTCTTTCTACAATGAGAAAGTCAAAGAGGAGACTCTGAGAGAGTGGGAAGATAAGGATGTACAGAGGAGAAGCCATGATTATAGGAAGCAGGCAGCAATGTGGAGGTTTGCTTTGATGCCAGAATCTCACCATGGAGATTAACATGCCTTCCCAAAAGAGGTGGGGAAGGTCAAGAAGGAGAACAAGTAAGTTTATTAAGATAGATTCTAAGTGTTAGGTTTACAGGAGATAATCTTTCCATCATTTGAGGTCACTACTAACTCAGGAGATAAACTTTGTGGATGAAGGCACTGTTACGTGTTGGGCATATCTACAGAGAAATAGACTAAGGAAAGCTGTTGCCCAACAGTGATATTCTCCTAACCATAAAGGCACCGAAAATGTAAAACCTCTTCATTTACATCAGCAACAGTTACAGCACTCAGGACATCTGCTAACAAAACAAGACACTTCTGCAATAGATGCACCAGAAGCTTTTTGTGCTACTGTCATGTTTCAAACCCGGCTGGCAGCCAAACACCATGCAGCCCCTCACTCACCCTCTCCCTGCCCTGGGGAATGGGGGAGACAATTGGGGGGTAAAGGTAAGGAAACTCATAGGTTGAGATAAAAGCAATTTAATAATTTAAATTAAATAAAATTAAAATAATAATAGAATATAAAAATGAGCAACGCACAATGCAATTGCTCACCACCTGCTGACCAATGCCCAGCCTGTTCCTGGTTAGTGGTCCCAGAGGAGGTGTGTGAGCCGGCACAGGGAGGATGTAGGAACAACCAAAAACCATGGATGAAACACAAAGAGTACATTTATTCTTGTTACCTCATAACTTAACCTGGGGGATCTCCGCAGCAGCACCCACACAGAGGCACACAAGCGAGGATGCAGGCACCGCACAGCTCGGTCCTTGCTAGCCAGAAAGAGGAGAAGAAAGAAAAGATCTCAAACCTGCTGCTTTTGCCTGTTTATCAGGGATTTTTGCAGGCGTAGTTTTCCATGGTGCCTTCATCCTTCCTGAAGCAGGGCAGTAATCTCAAGGATGTTTGGTAAGGTGTCTCTGGGTCTCTCACAGGCCTATGCCATTTAAATGCAGACATTCCATCTGTCAAGCATACAAAGCTAAACAACAACTAGTATGATATATGTGTTTTTTGACACCCCAGCTACAAGTCACTTTAGTGTGTTTACAAACCTCCTTGCTAATTTTCCGTTGTATTCATGCAGGAGGGAAGAACCCAAAACCGCCATCTCAGAAGAGAGGGTGCCCCAGCTTCCTGGCCCACCTTCATCTACGTACTGAGCATGATGTTATACGAGATGGAATATTCTGTTGGCCAATTCGTGTCTGTTGCTCTGGCCGCGCTTCCTCCCAGCATCTTGTGCACCTGTGCACAGGCAGGACATGGGAAGCTGTAAAGCCCTTGATCTCTTAGCAACAACTGAAAATATCAGTGCATTATCAGCATTCTTCTCATACCAAATCCCACACTCAATCCAGAACACAGCACTAGCCTAGCTACTGAGAAGGAAAATTAGCTCTATCCCAGGTGAAACCAGGACAGCTATGAAGCTGAAAACCACAGGGATGACCTACATGCTGACACCACTGCGAGACGCACCGCCCAGCCCTTGCTGATGCCTTTGCTCTTGTCTCTTCAGACATCCTGATGCAAAGCACTTCAACAAGCACAGTGTTTTTACCACTCTATTACAAGCCTAATCACATGGGAAAAAGGAAGAAAACCTTAAAACAACAACAACAACAACACCCTCGGCTCTTGTTGGTGGACAAGCATTTTCTTTCGTTTGATTTGTTACTTCTATGAAATCGTAAGGCCTCTGGAGATCAGGCCTCAACATCCTTATTTCGCTACTGCCCTGCAGAATGACGATTTCTCTATCAAACAAAGGGACACCGCCGCTGGACGGTATTTACCGATCCACCCAGGCCCTTCAGCGCGCCGCGGGGCCTCTCACCCTGCCGCCGGCGCGGAGCGGGGGGGCACCGGCAGC